TTTTATTTTTGTAATTTTGCTTTTATTTCCCTTTTAGTTTTTCCCTAAGAATCAAATCATGAATCTATTATTACTTCTATTTTTGTTTGTAATTTCTTTTCTTATCTTTACTAATTTTTCTGTTTTTCTTTTATTTACTTTTCCTTATTGTAATTCCTTAGTTGGAATGTTTATTATGATTATTTCTTTTAAAAATAATGTAAACATTTATGCTAAAACTTCTCCACGCATTATTTTCAAATGTGTTCTATGGGTTCTGGGTTCTGATATACATTGTGTTCTGAATAATATTCTGAACATTACACAATTTATTTTAATTTCCTCTTTGACCAAAGAGTTTGTTCAAGCCAGTAGATTTTGGAATTTACACGTGAAAGATTTTCATTTTTCTAATTTATGACTTTTTTTTTTTTAGTCAGAATTTTATCTGTCCTTTTCTACTTTGTGGAATATTTGAGATTTTATAGGCCTACTATGTGGACTGATTTTGAGAATGTTCTCTGAGCATTTTAAAAGATGGTTCACTCTCTATTTTTCAAGATGCAGAATAAACTAGTTAGCTCTATATTATAAATAAGTACATACCTTTATTTCATGTTCCCATTTTTTATACGTTTGCATATTTCATGGATTTGATCTCCTAGGTTGAGAGGTAGTCTTCTCAGTTGCTAATGTGTTTTTGTATCTTGGATTTCTGTATTTTATATATTCATGATTATCTTCTTTATTTATCTTTAGTCTTTATTTTCACCATTTCTTATATATTGTTTTACATGCATATCTTGTATATATATAGTTTAGGGGGGTTTTGCTATATCAGTTGTTAAACTTAGCATGAATCAAAATCACCTGAAGGGCTTGTAAAATACAGATTGCTGGGCCCTACCCACAGGTTTTTTGATTCTGGAGGTCTGGTTTGAGGCCTGAGAATTTTCTGCATGATCCTATCATAGCTCTTTTAATAGTTATTTTTATTCTAGTTGCACTTATTGACAGGAACAATATGGTTGGTATTGATTCTCTGATTTTATTTTATATACTGTTTTAAGTTTTTTTTTTTTTGGGTCACGTGGCACAGCTTGTGGGATCTTAGTTCCCTGACCAGGGATTGAACCCATGCCCTTGGCAGTGAAAGCATGGAGTCCTAACCACTGGACCTCCAGGGAATTCCCAACTGTTTTAAATTCTGCCTCATCTTTTATCTTTTGTATCTTTTGCTGCAGGATCTTTCTTTGTTTTGAATATATGTCTTTTTTTCCCGAAAATTTGGAAAGTTTATATTTTTTCTTATGGTTGCCTTTATATTCATAATTTTCTTAGTCTTCATCCTTGATTTGAGACAATATCTATATACTGTCTGTTACCAGGAGTGATGTATATTTTATACATTTTATAATACATATTTTCAGTCTCCCTCTTCCCTTCACTGCACAGTTGGTGATTATGATTATTATCCTAGCTTTAAATAGTAACGGTTGCACTGTTCTCACCTCCCCCTTCATAGTATGAAATTCTTTGCATCTTTGCCGTTGATTCTGCAGTGACCCATCTATCAAAATCCTATCCACTGTTCAACTTTGAACTTCATTTTTATTAAACTGTCTCTCACTTCTAGCCCAATCTCTCTAATCTCTGTATCTCCATCTTATATTGTAGCTTCCAGAGCAACTTGGATCTTAAGTATATACTCTGTTAGATTTGTATTTTTCGCTTTGATGTCTGAGACATACATTGAAGCTTATTGGCAGAAAGGCCAGTTTTTTATCCTTGTCTGCATTCTGGAGCACAAATAAGATGTTTTATTTTGTGAAATGTCTACCCTAGTCTTTCTCCCATTTTAAAAACTAAATTGTTTATCTTTTTATTATTGTGTTTCAAGAGTTCTATATATTCTGGATACAAGCCCTTTATTAGTTTCTCCCAGTCTATGGCTTTCCTTTTTGTTTTCTTAACTGTGGTTTTTTTTTCTTTTCTTTAATTAACAATTAATTAAATTTTTTTGGCTGCGTTGGGTCTTCCTTGCTGTATGCAGGCTTTCTCTAGTTGCATCGAGCAGGGGCTACTCTTCATCACGGTGCGCGGGCTTCTCAATGCGGTAGCTTCTCGTTGCAGAGCACAGGCTCTAGGTGCGCAGACTTCAGTAGTTGTGGCATGCAGGCTCAGTAGTTGTGGCTGATGGGCTCTAGTGCACAGGCTCATTAGTTGTGGTGCATGGGCTTAGTTGCTCCATGGCATGTGGGAGCTTCCTGGACTAGGGCTTGAACCCATGTCCCCTGCATTGGCAGGTGAATTCTTAACCACTGTGCCACCAGGGAAGTCCTTAACTGTGTTTTTTGAAGGGTGTTAATTAGTTTTTAATTTTGATGAAGTCTTCCATTTTTTTCTTTTATATTAATAGTTTTCTTATTAATAGTTTTAATGCTTATGCTGAGCTCTATAATTGATTTTGAGTGAATTTTTGCTTATGGTATGCAGTGAGGGTTGAGGTATTTTTTTCTAGTTATGGAAATTATAGCACTGATATGAGTGGCAGCATATTACTAATCAGTTCTTGAAATGATTTATAAGAAAATGAGGATATAATTTTAAGATAGATAGATCAGGATAATGTCCAAGGTTTGCAGTGAGTGGATGGAAAACAGTTATAAAAGAAAGGATTTAGAGAGAGGCCAAGGAAAGGGCTCTTGACAAGAAAAGGGCTTGGGTGCCAGTATATCAGGCATAATGAAAGGAGAAAAATAAATGAAAATTGAATTTGATGGCAATGACAGTTTCTATATCAAGAAATGATAGTATCGGGCTTCCCTGGTGGCGCAGTGGTTGAGAGTCCACCTGCTGATGCAGGGGACACGGGTTCGTGCCCCAGTCTGGGAAGATCCCACATGCTGCGGAGCAGCTGGGCCCGTGAGCCATGGCTGCTGAGCCTGTGCGTCCGGAGCCTGTGCTCTGCAATGGGAGAGGCCACAACAGTGAGAGGCCCGTGTAACGCAAAAAAAAAAAAAAAGAAAGAAAGAAAGAAATGATAGTATCAATAATCAAAATCAGATTTGGAAGCAAAAATGGCTATTTTCTGGCATATTTTCTTTCCTATTAAATATATGTGTACTTTGCTGTTTAGCCCATGTGAAACTCAGTTGTAAGTAGATAAAAAGAGCACTGTCTATAGTTATTATACAGTTATAGACTGAGTCAAGTTAAAAGGCCCAAGTCTTCAAGATCTCTGTAAGTATAACAAATAGGGCCTTTTAAAAGTCAAATAGGATTATAGCTATGCTTGCTCCTTTCTTCCTCACCCACAGTTTTTGTTCCACATAGACAGCCACTTTCAACACATTTGACTGTGTCTGTTGGTGTTTATTCCCGTATTTTATACAGCTATTTTACCTATTTTAAATGTAATCAATTTAATCATTATCAACATGCTAATATGAAAGATGGGGTTCAGAAAATTTCCTGCATTCATTTTTCTTCCTATTTTCTCTGAAACTCCTTTCTCTGGTGCTTCATATTTTCTCTTGAACCTCCTGGATTCCTCCACTAAACTACTAATTTCCCAGTCATTACTCTCTTTCTTTATTCCTTTCTCCCTTCCTTCCTTTTTTTTTTTTTTTTTAATTTTTTTATTCTGGGAGATATTCTGTATTTTTTTCCCAACCTATTGAATTTTTAAGGTTAACATCATACTGTTTATTTCCAAAAGCACTTATTTATAGAATCCTGTTAATATTTCATTGCTATATAATCTCTTAGCTTTCTGTGATACTAATTATATATTGTATGTATGTGCTCTTCTGTTCCTTGCCTTGTTTTTTCCTATTTGTTTGATCTTTCACATTATGGCTTTTGTCCAATTTTTGTGATCTTTAACTCTACATTAATACATTGAGGTACCAAAAAGATTACTGTAATCTCTGTGTCCATGGGTGGGTCTTGTAAAATGGTGGGCTTCACTGTACAGCATTCAGTCAGATATCTAAGTCTTTCTTTTATATGACTCCAAATGTCAGTATCTGTAGGTGTTCTCATGATCTTCTCATTTTTTCAAACAAGAACCCTTCCATTATCTAACAACTACCAGCATTCTTAGAGTCTAGCAGAAGAAAGAAGTTGGGAGCCTATACTATATATAAACTTTTACTCATCCACTTCTTTCAGTATGGTACTCTCATCTACTTTCCCTGTCATCACTAAATTTGGAGTTTCTCAGTTGTACTTTGTCTGGATAATAAATTCCTATTTCTTTCCAGTTAGGAGAATTGGGTGTATCAGCTGCTCCTTTCATTTTATAAGCCCCACCTTCCACTCTCATGCAGTGTCTCCAGTTATAGTGCCTTTCTGTTGACAGCTGTGTCACAGATTACCTTGCTTCTAAGTAGCATCCTTATCTGCTAGCATTTTATTTAAGTCATTCAGTTCTGCTGTTAATTTACAGTCTTTTATTTGCTTTCCTTTCAAAATTTCCTAATACTTTCATTCACTTGTTGTCTCCTCAACCTTTTAGATTTTATGAGTAATGCCCTTCATCCCCTATTGTCATTTTAATGGAGTTTCAGGAAAATGTAGAAATAAATGTCTTATTTAACCACATAGCCCTTATTAATACTTCTATTCATTTTATTTTTATCCCTTCATCCTAGGCTTTCCAAATGTTACATGTTTGTCTTTCATCCTGTTTGTCACCTGTTCTTTATGTTTTCCCTTACTTTACTGATTTATAAAATATACATTGTTTCATTTAAAAGCAGTTTAAGCTACATGCACCCATGGATGTTATTTGCATTTGAGCTTTCTTTTATACTGGTAGGTTAGGTTTGAAGTAGAGTCTATTTTTAAATTGCATATTTTTGAAATTTTATTAAAAATAGTGGGAAAATTTACATGTGTGATATTGATGATGATGATAACTAATTTACTGAATGTTTACTACATGCCAGGCATTAAATATTTTACAGTTATTAACTCTTTTCAATGATGATTTTTTTGTACTCCTTTTTAGAAAAGGCCTGGGAAATTTATAAGTAAATAAAGACACAACAGGAAAGACTTGTGGGTTAAGTCTCATCCTTCTCCGTGAAAGCACAGCTAAAGAAAAACTCAGAAAACCCAGGTAGCAGAAAAGTATTTCCTCTGAGCACAATGATTCTTTAAGACAACTCCTCTGTGTATGGGACTCAGTTTAAACAAGTTTGGAACATTTAATTTACACTTAAATATGAGAGAAGCTGTCCAAGAACCATTAAGAATATAATGAGGATGCTATATTTCATCCCAATTTGTAATCAGCTAAATCACAGGATAACCAATGTGAAAAGTCTTTCATCATATATTCAACTTTGTTAGATAGCTGAGAATTACTATTGGAGAGAAACCATATGAATTTACTGAATGTGGGAAAGCTTTCATCCATGTCACATGTCAAGAGATAATAAGGAATTCTTGTTGGAGAAGGTATCTGTGCATGATAAGAATGTTGGAAAGCCTTCAGCCTGAATCAGATCTCCTTCAGCATGATCAAATTCATGCTGGAGAGAAACCTTATGAATGTAATGACTGTGGAAAAACATTTAACCTGAAGCAAAACCTCGTAGAGCATAAGAAAATGCATACTGGAGAGAAATCACATGAATGTAATGAATGTGGTAAAGAATTCTCTCGAGTCTCATCCCTTACTCTACATTTGAGAAGTCATACAGGAAAGAAACCATATACATGTAATAAATGTGGAAAAGCCTTCAGCCAGAAGGGAAACTTGCTTACTCATCAAAAACATCATACTGGAGAGAAAACTTATGAATGTGGGAAAGCTTCTATTCAGATGCCAAGCCTTATTAAACACCAGAGAAATCATATTGGAAACAAACCCTATGTATGTAAGGAATGTGGCAAAGCCTTCAATGGAAAATCGTATCTCTCTGAGCATGAGAAAATTCATACAGGAGAGAAACCATTTGAATGTAATCAATGTGGAAGAGCCTTCAGCCAGAAGCAATACCTCGTTAAACATCAGAATATCCATAGTGGAAAGAAACCCTTTAAATGTAACGAGTGTGGAAAAGCCTTTAGCCAGAAGGAAAACCTCATTATCCATCAAAGAATTCATACTGGCGAGAAACCTTATGAATGTAAAGGGTGTGGGAAAGCTTTCATTCAGAAGTCAAGCCTCATTAGACACCAGAGAAGTCATACAGGAGAGAAACCTTATATATGTAAGGAATGTGGAAAAGCCTTCAGTGGGAAATCAAACCTCACTGAGCATGAGAAAATTCATATTGGAGAGAAACCCTATAAATGTAATGAATGTGGAACAATCTTTAGGCAGAAGCAGTACCTCATTAAACATCACAATATTCATACAGGAGAGAAACCCTATGAATGTAATAAATGTGGAAAAGCCTTCTCTCGAATCACATCTCTCATTGTACATGTGAGAATTCATACAGGTGATAAGCCTTATGAATGTAAAATATGTGGGAAAGCCTTCTGTCAAAGCTCATCTCTTACTGTGCATATGAGAAGCCATACAGGTGAGAAGCCCTATGGTTGTAATGAATGTGGGAAAGCCTTCTCTCAGTTCTCAACTCTTGCTCTGCATATGAGAATCCACACTGGAGAAAAACCTTATCAGTGTAATGAATGTGGGAAAGCTTTTAGCCAGAAGTCACATCATATTAGACACCAGAGAATTCATACTCATTAAAACTCTATGAACACCTTGAATTTGGGAACACCTTCAAGAGAATTCATGTTAAACAGTATATCAGAAAATTTATTTTACAGTAAAGTCACATGAATGTGGAAAATCCTTCAGCAACAGCTCAAAATGTAATATACTGAGAATTTAATAACTATCACAGTATCATGAAAACCTACACCCCCAAGACCCCCACAACAAACATTGTTCCTGCTGTACTTTTAGGAGCATTCTCATTAAAGTAAGGATCCTGTCATGGACACTAATCAGCATGGTTCTGGAAGGCCTACTTGATGCATTCAGACAAAGATATGCAAGGTATTAAGATGTGAAATTAAGAGACAAAATTGTCTTTTTTTTCAGTATGTGGGCCTCTCACTGTTGTGGCCTCTCCCATTGCAGAGTACAGGCTCCGGACGCGCAGGCTCAACGGCCATGGCTCACGGGCCTAGCCGCTCCGCGGCATGTGGGATCTTCCCAGACCAGGGCACAAACCCGTGTCCCCTGCATCGGCAGATGGACTCTCAACCACTGTGCCACCAGGGAAGCCCAAAATTGTCATTTTTTTTGTTATATGCTTTGCTACATGTATAATCATCAAAATTATTTGCTCTTGATGCAGTAATAGAAAACAAAGATTGTGACAGAATATTATATCCAGAAACATATGCATATCTTTATGGGGAATTGGCAATTGATAGAGGTGGTAATCACAAGTTGGTAGGAAAATCTGGATGATTTAAAAAATGGTCTCAGGGTAATTGACTCTTCATATGGAAAAATATTAGATCTTTGCTGTTGTTATACATTAAAGTATTTATTTAAAAATCCAAAAGTATTGTGAAGATTAGAATGCAAAGAGCAAAACTTAGTAATATAAGAATTTCATAGGAGAATTTTTTCAAACCTCAGGGTAGGAAAGATTTTCGAAAACAGATTCCAGAATACTCACTCTTGAGTATACACACATATAGTGAAGAAACTGATACATGTACCCAGGGAGTCCTGTACCTTTATGTTCATTGCAGCATGAGTTATATTAGCAAAATATTGGAAACAAATGTCTGTCACTTTTGAAATGGATGAATAAAATGTGATGCAGTCACACTGTATAATATTCTCTAGTAGTTAAGTATAACAAATTAAATCTATATGTATTAATAGAAAAAGATATGAAAATCATGTAGAGTGAAAACAAATGAAGTGAATATATTATAATTATACCTGTATGAATTTGAATTAAATCAACACTAACCAACACTAGTATTAAAGCATTGGTTATGGGTGGACATTTTTATGTAAAACTATGAAGAATGGATTGGAAGAATACACACTCAATTCCCAAAAGTGGTTGTCTCTAAAAAGAAAGCCAGTAGAAGGGAAATGGAGCCAAACATGGTAGTTAAAGGATACTTCAGTTTTGTATCTAAATATCTATCTCATTAAAAAGAAATAAAGATTCCAAGTAAATAAAACAAAATATTAGCTAATTCTGAATTGTAATAGTATATGGGTTTATTCTGTTGTTTATGCTGTTTCTTTTAAACTTCTGAAAATTAAAAAAGATAGGGATAGGAGTAGGGAAACTATATGGAGTACATGTTATAGTGGATTCACATTCCCAGTTAGATGCAGATATTTTACAGAAGATATTTATACAATCATATCTTTACTATAAAATATGAATTTTTAAAACTGGAATGGTAACAAATCTAGTTATTTAAATTTACTCTCAAATGTCATATCATTAATCTCTGTGTGGTCTCTACTGAGACCACAGTAGATTATAGCATGATTTTGCAACAGGTTGTTGAATCACATATATTTAAGGATCATATCACTTAGTAATACATGCACAGACTTGTTAGAGATAATTAGTTTTTCAGAAACATTTATCAGAAATTTTAATAGTCCACATAACCAGTATTGGCATTAGAAATTTGACATTTTTTAAATGAGGAAAACATGTCACTCTTACATTTTTTTGTATGCCATTGAGTAAAACATCAACTCTTGCATTTCAGCTTGAGTTTTAAACTCAGATTTTTTTTCCCTCTAATCTGCCACAGTCAATCAATTTCCCCCACGTCTAGTTTGTTTGTTTCCTTCAGGAAAATGGCACTGAAAAGGGAGATCTCAGACCTAAACAGAATTCTTTTATTAAAAGCAAATCTTTTTGAGGATTTTTGATTCCTTTCCACAATAACTTGACATATAGAAAGCATTTAGTGCTCTTTTTGGATAGTGATAAAAAATGAGTATGTAACACAAACCTTAGGCTTCTTTCAAATATATCAATTTCTTTTAAACCCAGAATAATACTATGCTACTATGACTATAGCACTGCATGGCTTATTATTAGCATATTTGAAGTTTGGTCTTGAGATAAGATTATAAATGCCATAGGTTGACTTTGTGAGGTAATGTATCCAAATAAGATACATGTATATGTGATTCGAAATTATCCTCTCTTTTCTTCCATTTCTCATTAAGCATTCTCTCATATTCCTTAAGTGTTATCCCTTTGTGCTGGTGCAGTTTTGAAATCACCAGAGCAACTAGGAACTCTAATCCGGACCAAATAAGGAAGATTACCTTTTGGTGCCTATAGTTGGTCAGTGCCAAGGCCCAGCAACAATAATGATTATAATGGTCAGATAGAGTAAGATAAGTAGTTGCTGCACAGTATTCAGTGATATTGTGTGCTATAAATTTATTCAGCCATCCCCCTACTAATTCAACTTGTTGCTAGTTATTTGCCATCACAAACAACACTATAGTAAACACCCTTATATTGGCCCTTACCTTTTATTTTTATTTCTGGGGGATAGATTATAGGCAAGAGACTGCTAGATCAAAGTATATGTGCTATTTTAAAATTTTAAGATGCAATCAGTTATTTTCAAAAAGACAAGTTTCCTCCAGCCATGCAATAGGTGGTATTATACTAAAATTCATGTTTGTCTGATGAGTATAAACCTCACCTTTTCCTAGATTTGCTTCTTTGTAAATTTTTATATTAGCCTATTTTCCTATAGGATTATTTATCTTTTTGTCAGTTTTGAAGACTTCTTCATGTATTAGACATTAGGAAGTTTATGGATTGGTTATAGAGATATTTTAATCTCTAGATTATATATGTTATTTCTTAGGTTTTCTTGTAAATTGTCTATTTCCTTTTTGCAATATATAAATATTTAATCCATCTAGAATTGAATTTTTAATGTCATAAATGAGGGTTCATTTTCTTTTCTTCCAGATGGGTTGCCAGTTATACAAGCACAATTTGTTAAAATAATCCAGCAGCCAGTTTATCAGCAAGTCACACAGCTCTGACACCTGCATGTCCACCAGAAGCAATCACAGATTTGAACTAGCAATCAAAAAAAGAGAGAGGGAGAGCAAAATAAGCTTTAACCTAGCATTAAGTTTATTATTAGATTTGGCCTGACAAAAAAATGTCTTCACAGCATGTTCATCAGACAGTCCTGCAACTACCCAAGCAAGCACAGCTTCCACTGCTTCAGCACTGCACAGAGGAGAAAAGATCAAAATGGGCGTGGTTCATCTCAGCACTGGGAAACATTAACATTCTCATCCAGCACATTTTATAATAATCAGCCATGGCATCTGCACGGTGTGCCACCATCACATGGGGCACACTCACTTGTAACCATGATAATCATTTAAGCACAGAGAAGCCACTGCCTTGGTTTCCCAAGACTTGTGATACCTTACTTATATAGGCTGTCAATGTCTACGTGCCAGTTAACAGTTTGCCCCATCCAGATACAGGCTACAGATGAGAGATTTACAGTGGTGTTTTCTTCAAGGAAACTGGTAGAAAGGCAAATCTAAAGTCATTTTTCCAGAGATGAATCAGTAGGAAAGACCTGTTCTTAATCCTTTACTGATACCACACTTTTCCTACTCAACTAAAACTTTGCTATGTAATCCTTTAACCATATGATCTTTTCTTCATTCAACTTAAACTGCCTTATATTTTGATTTATACCAAGACCTATTTCTATATTCTCTTGCTTCATTAATCTGTTTTTCTATTCCTATACTAACAAACACCATATTAATTGATAACATTAGCCTTACTGTATTTTGATACTGAGTATTACAGCAAGTCCCCCATTCCCTGTTTTTCAGTTTTATTGGCTAATCTAATTTTCTTTCTATATAAATTAAGATAGTTTTCTCAAATTACAAAAACGCTTTGATATTCTAATTGGAATTACACTAAATTTATACACTTACTTTGGGAGAAATGACATTTATGATACTGTCTTTCTGTCCCAAAACATAGTATGCCTTTGCATTTGTTCAAATTGTGATTCACGTCCTTCAGCATGAGGATTCTGAACAAAGTAATTTGAAGACCATCGCTTCTTAATACCATTATATTAAGGATTTTTGTTCGGTGAATAAGGAAATTCCCCCTCCACCCCAGCCCAGAATTCATGTGTGGAAGCCCTAATCTGCAATGTGATGGTATTTGGAGATGGCGCCTTAGGGAGATTAATTAGTTTTAGATTAGGTGGCACACTTATGATGGGAGTAGTGCCCTCATAAGGAATGCCTCGTGTATGCACCAAGCACACAGTGAGACAGCAGCTGTCTACAACCCAGGAAATGGACCTTCACCAAATCTGCCAGCACTTTGCTATTGGGACTTCTTAGCCTCTAGAACTGTGAGAAATAAATATCTGTTGTTTAAGCCACCCAGTCTATGGTATTTTGTTATAGTAGCTCAAGCTAAGGCAGTCCCCTTCCTGCTTAATTCTACCGCACCCAGTTAAATATGAGGTAAACATCTTGTCAGATGCTTACTATGAGCTCCTGATATATGGTAAATAAGACAAAGCCACTTCTCATTAGAAGAGTATAATCCCAACTCCATTAACAAGCTCTAATTTTTGGCAATTTGTAAAACTTCCTAAGTCCCAATTTCTTCATTTTAAAATAAAAATTGTTGGAATGGGAAATATGTGAAAAATACAGTTCCTGCAAATGACATCACCAAAATGTTGAACTAGGAAGCTCCAAGCTATTGTTTTCCCATAGAAACTGAAAACAACAACAAAACCCCAGAAGCTTTCTGAACCAACTTTGTAGTACCTCTGAGAAACAAAGGTTTTTTGAAACAAGAAAATGCACAATTAAGAAAAGCCATCTTCAAAATGTTAGTAATGTTTTGTGGCATGTTTACTCTTTACCCACCCCTCCCTAGCACAACAGTGATCTTGGTCTTGACCTGGTGGCAACCCAGTTTCTCCTCAAACTTGGAGCAGAGCAGACCATGTTTGCAAATTATTGTGTATCTCTGTTCTAACCTATCTTGAGGA